ACATATACACACTCTAATTTCAGAATTAGAGAATGGATTATTGTAAGTCATATTTATTACTGATGTTCTTCTCGTGCATATCTAACTGTACAATCAGTAAAAGCAGAGGGTCCAGCAGATTTTTTTATGGGAATGTATTGTAGTTTGAGTATTTCAGCACTCAGACTCAGGCTTGCCTGACCTGGTCTTGTTCATAGCAGAGCGGTCTTGCTTATACAAACTGAAGAGGCAGTATTAAAATAACTGCAAAAAATATTTATGCCCAACCCCAAAAGGGCACTCGCATAGTCCCGGGCTGAATTTCAGTCCCAGTACACCCCTGAACAAGATTACCAACTGTCAAACATGGAGAAGGAAGAGTGATGGTCTGGGGCTGTTTTACTGTGTCTAGAGTCGGCGACTTGTACAGAGCGAAGTGCACCCTGAACCAACAGGGCCACCACAGCAAGATTAAACCCCATCCAGCTGGTTTGGGATGAATTTCAATAAAACTGGACAAATGGAGGTCTTTAAGATTTTGACCACTGGAGAGTTATTGTTTGGTGTTATATTTTCAATCATACTTTAAGAGCATTTTAAAACTTTGTCACAGACTCCAAAAATTTGTTGCCAAGAACATTTAACAGTTAATTGTTCACCAAAATAAATTTGATAATTGCTATTAAAAAATAATCACAGTTGACCTATGTAGAGTGGATTTTTTCAATGACGCTTTCATACCCGTTAACAGTTTTCATTCAGAAGTTGTTTTTTCCAATTGTGACTGCCAACTGGCTATCAGAGCAGGAGGAGGCAAAAAAAGGGAACAGCATCATTGCAAGCTAACGAGAGAAAGTCACGACACCAAAATAGATAACAGAAGGCCCTGCACACTACAGCAGTACACTAAAGTAGACTGAACACATGACTCATTACAACTTCTTGGTCATTTAAATAATTACAACCATTTCCAGTAATGATTGAGTATAAATTGTTCATTTATAACTGGTGATGTTGATCTTCATACTTGTGAACGCCTGATTTTTAGCAGCTTGAAAGTTATGGTAAAGGTAATGTTACTAGTGTTAACATTTTGTTTGCAATAAGAGATTTTTGCCACATTGTTAAGCTAAAAACGCTAAAGCCTAATTAAACAGCTGTGATTGCTCTTAATTTCCTTGTCAAACACAGAGTTAAAAATATTTGCTTGTCACAAAATAAATCACTCGTTTCACTTTGAAAGTATATTTGCATTACAGCGTAGGCATAACATGCAACACTAGTTTCCATCAATAGCAAACACAGTGCAAGTAAACTACCTGCCACTTTCTCCGCAAATGTACAAGACATTGTTCCAAGCAGTAGTTGGTTTTTGTTTGGATCTGTGAGACATTCATCCACACTTGTTCAAATGTACCAACTTTCAATCTGCCTCTTTCTTTTTCATTCATGTCACAGGTCCAAACTTTGCTTCGCATCATAGCTCTTTACAATAAAGCAGCAACTGAAAACTGTAGACAGTGAAGTGTCGTGGAAATGTGTCACAGAAGTCTGTGTGAACCCCAAATTAAAATCAAAATACTTTGAATACTTCAGTAATCTTTATATATATTTAACTAAAATATTTAGGACAATCTGAACTTAAACTAGAAGTAGTAAAAGCAGCTCGAACTTGAAGCAAACAGCACAGTTGTCATAAATGAGATTATGAGATTAATAAGATTTTTGTGCAAATGTTATTCATTCAAACCACTTCATGTTCACCTGTTGGCACCTGAGAGGGGAAATGCGGGATAGCAACCTGCTCTCACTGCCAAAGCGTCATATACGACAGCTTAGTTAGGGGCCATGCACTTCAAACTCTGACTCCGATGCTGCAGGGATCCCTCCAGCGTCATTTTCGAGCCACAGAGTACACCACAATATCTGCATCACCACATGGGGAGCTGTTGAGGCAGCTGTACCGTTGTGAAAATCCACCTGAGAGTGGGTGAAGTTACTTGAGTCATCTTCAGTCTGGAAGAAAGCAAACAGAGGTTGAAGTTTATCTCTTGCAGACCGTTTCAGACTCAATGTCTAATAGTGATTATCTGTTTTGGAGTGCAGCACCTTTTTCTCTCTCTCCGTTCACACTTAAACATTCAGTCTGAGGACTTCCTCAAAGGTTTATGATCACAATGTGAACTGGTTACTGGTTCTTAAGATGTCATTATAAAATAATATGACAATAATAAAATAATCCGATTGTGACCAGATAATGATTTTTTCTGTTTTTGTTTATATGCTGTCTGCATAACATGTGTATTGCATCATTATGGTGAGATGCTGCTATAAACCTTTTTGAGAGTTAGTTTGTCAAGTGCAGTATATGGTGCCTTTTGGAGTGTGTGAAGTTGCCCTGCTCAGTGACTGTTGCAAACTGCACTCAGCAGTGTTGTGTAGTGACATTGTATCTTCAGTCATGTATCAGAATTACTACTAGTGTGCTTTCTGCTTGGGTTATTTTCAGTGAAAACCATATTTGGGATATTGACTTCATTGTATAAGTGTATTGTGATTTGTGAGTTAGATAGCAGTACTTTGTTTATTGAACTGGACAGGCAGACTTGCTGCCTGCTCAGCTGGACTAGTCATCAACTAGTCATTTTGGGTAGAGCGTGTTGCCTGTTAATCGAAAGATCGGCGGGTCATTTTCCGGCTCCTCCGGGCTGCATGTTGAAGTGTCCTTGGGCAAGATACTGAACCCCGAATTGACGTTAGCTTAGTTTAGGAGCCCCTGGTAGCTGCTCCAACTGTGTATGAATGGTGAATGCGATGTGTTTGAGTGCTTGAAAAGACTAGAAAGGCTCTATATAAATACAGAGCATTTACATCAACTTTTCACCAATATGTGTGTGATCTGACATGCCAGCTTGCCTGGAAGTTCAAATAGCCTAATTAAGGTGGGTCTCAGCATCGTGTGTGTTTGTGGAGTCTGGTGTTGCGAAGGCTCTATCAGGTGCCTGTAGTTTGCTGGGTGTCAATAGCTTTGTTATAGAGAGTGTGGGTGTTAGGGATGGGAGGAGGGCCCTTCGGGGCTTCAGTGCCTAGGGGCCCCTGGGGGTACTTGGCAGTCAATAGACAAAAAAAATTGTATTGCGATGTAGAGAGTGCACAGTAAAAACATTACATATGAAATTTTTTAAAAACTAATAACTTACCACTGTAAGAGGTCTTCCTCCAGTCTAGGTTGCGAAGCTGGTTCAAGAACATGTACAGCTGAACCGAAGCCCTGGTTACCGGCTTATCAGGACTATGGTCAGGACCCACCCCCAACTCTGCTTCTGATTGGCTTAACTAGGTATTGTTTACGCACAACTCCAAAGATCAAATTTAAGCAAGATGCTTCACTCGGTAGCTAATACAGAGATGTCAACACACAGGGTGAAAAGAGGAGCTGCAGCAATGTTCAGTATGACAACATGGTGTTTTTTGAAAATTAAACCATGTAAACCTGTTCTGGTATAATTATGAACCTGAAAATGACATGATCACTTCAAAAAGGCGTTATGTTGCTCAGAAACAATGATTTTAATGATACGATTTGCTGAACCCAACGCTAAAATCCTGCTACAGTTTTTATTTACTTTCTTCTGAGAACTGGCTGCAGTGGAAAAGTGTAAACTGTGGATATTTCAACAGGAGTAGATCTCGTCCGTCTTTCCTCCTCTCTGATCTCCTCATACACTCCGTTAGGCTGCAGGAAAGGAAGAGGGGATTGGTTTGTATCAACATCAGCTGATTTCACAAACACTAATGACACTGAGATGTCCCAAATTCACTCAAACTCACCTCTGTCGTGTTAGCATTCTCCACAGGAGGTTCTGGAAAACATGCAGTTCAGTAGATTAGGGTCACTGTCACATCTGGTTGAGTCAGAGACACACACCCCTTTCAACTAAAATTATTGAGAAACTAACAGGAACCAAAAGTAGGAACTAAAAGTCCCTTTGTATTCCCAACACATCTGAAAAAGTTTAGGCAAACATTTCCCACAGTGAATAAACTTTACCTTTCAAAGGCAAGGTCCAATCACACATGATTTGTTAACAAACCAAAGTTTGTTATTTGTGAGAATGTTTGTTTCATGTTTTTTTGTGTGACAAAGTTTTTAGATGTCCACTGTGCTTTGTTATGTGTGTGTGTTTCCTGTAGCCTCACCTTTGGGTTTACAGTTCCTCTTCCTGCAGAATATCAGCACAGTCGCTGATGATACGATGATCATGATGACCAGAATCAGACGCACATACAGCAGCGCACCTGTGGCTGTTTGAGCAGAACACCTTTGTTTTACACTGACACTTCCTGATTCATTATAAAATATATCTGGGAGCATAATGGACTCCCAGGAACATGTGGGACCTGAGTTCATGCAGTGTTGTCAAACTAATAGTAACATCAAATAAATGAATTAAATCCTATAACAAAAACTATTAATAATCACTATAAATATAACTTCTATACAAAAATACACATTTACCTTCTTGCATACAAACAGTACACGCATGTACGAACTTTACACCAAAATGCAAATACATAAACAAACAGGTTCTACCTGCAAAGATGGATGGAGTCTGACATTCAACAATTAAATAACTAATCAGTGTTGATACTTTTGGTTAGCTGATTTCTGTTTGCGACAGGGATTGATTTGTTTTGTCACGACCAATCAGTGTCAAGTTACATATCCTGTGGCTGTTAGAGCAGTAGAGCTTGTTGGTCAGTTGGTTTTACTCATTTACACTTCCTGGATCATTATAAAATACATTTTGGGAGCACAGGAACATGTGGGACCTGGGTTCATGCAGAATTGTCAAACCAATATCAACTAAATATTTAAGCTTTTAAATCATTTTCAATTAAAACTAACAATGAAAACAAGTTCTGTACAAACAAGCAAACACATTCATTGACTTGCACAAGAACTTTACACCAACACAAATGCATGAGGGCATACTACGTCTACCTGTATGCAAAACTCCTGCATGCACAATTCAAGTGGGTGTTTTTAATTACATAATTCATAATAATTTTCACTGTGAAACTCATCCAACCAAACTGTCTACAGACACAGTATAAACTTTAATCAAGTACAAGATGAAGAGACTTTCGACAAGAAAAAAAACAAACCAGAAATGCTCATGAAGCTCAGGGTTTGTGGGCTGTCAAAGGGCGTGACAGAAAATGTTTCAGTGGATCTGAAACTATTTGAATGATGTAAACATACCTGTATCTGCTGTTTTCTGTTGCTGCTGAATCTGCTTAGCGGTTTCAAGGGAGGCTGATGAAGGTGTGGAGCTTTCTGAACTAGAGCTTAAACTCTGTGTGGCGGCTGATGGGACTGATGTTGAAAACAGTCGGAGAGTCCACTTTGGTTTAGAAGTGATTGGAGCTGTGAAACAAAGAACAGAATGAAACAATCAGATTCTGATTAATCAGACACAAAGAAATCCTGGTGATGAGATGATCCTCGCAGAAAACTCTGTGGTGACATTTTATTCAAATAACACAGATAAGATAAAGATAGATTCTTTATTAGTCCCCCATAGGGGAAATTCAGGTTGACATAACAGCACAGAGGAATGTATAATAACATCAGCAAACAGTCAATGCACCAATGATTACCTGGTGCATTAAGCTGTAAATATATTTGATAGATAAACTTAATCTGTTATATGAAACATCAGCAGCTGTCAGTGAACAGCTCATTTAATGTCTCAGTAGAAACTCACCATCTTCAACTCTGATGTCAAACTCCTCATATGAATCTGGAAACAAAAATCTGTCCAATCTACATCTGTACCGTCCTGAGTCAGACTTAGCCAGATTTGTGATGCTCACATACAGAAGTGTGGAAGATATTGGAAAAGTTCCTTCTTTATATTCAATGCTGTATCTGCCACTCTGAGCTCCGTCACCATCTGTTTCAACGAGGATGTCTTGTTCTTCACATTCTTCCTTACAGAAGATCTTTCTGCTTCCAGAGAAAGTGAAGAAACATGTATGTGTGATGTTTCCTCCCTGCTTTACGAGGATATCTGCATCGATGAGACCAGTGTTTCCATCCTGCAGTGCTGTTAAAAGATGAACAATCAATAGTTACTATTTTCCTGACACGGCAGTCTGATCATTTACAGATCTACAGGTTCCCACTGCCAGAAAAAAATATCCTAAATTGTGATTCTGTCTTTTTTCTGAAGATTTTAAAGTTGATTTGTTTGGTCATGATCGATCAGTGTCAAATGACGCATCAGTCCTAACCTAAAAAACGAACCGATAAAATGTTTTAATATAAAATAATACATTTTTGTGTTTGTTAGCTTGATTAGTCATTTCTCATGTGAAAATGACATTGTTGAATGTAAAACAAGGTTTTGGTGAGTTGCTTAACATATTCACAGCTCTCGGTTTGCCAACACGGTTGCAGTTCCTCCTCTGGAGCTGGTTCAAATAAGAGAAAAGTCTTTTTAAAATTGCTGACTAAAGCAAGAAGCACTGACTCTGCGTAGCACTGAAAATGTTAACAAGATTTATTTTGGTTGCAACTTGCAGATTTCTCATTTCATTAAATTAACTACATTTGAATCAGTAATTCATACCAGACTCAGAACATTATGTTTAACCGCCTAAAACAACAGACAAAGCTTACTAAAAATAAATTAATAAAAATACATTGATCAAAAGACTGGAGAGTGTACTCACTGAGACAGAGGAAGCAGATCAAAGTGTGACAATAGTTCATGTTGGAGGCTCTGATGGTTTAAGGATGTCTCTCTCTCTTCTTCACAGGCAAACCAGGAACTCTTCTCTTCTTTAAATCATGGAGTTCCTCCTCCAAACCTTGCACACTCAACTCCCCTCCCCCTCTACAATGTTTTCTTTATTCCATTATCTGCAAATTTATGGATGACTACAGTATGTCTACACTGCTGAAAAATTATGCAACCCCCTCTTGCAGAGGTCTGTGAAATAGATGACTGAATAAAAGAGGGATAAATATATCTGTGGTGGGAGGATGTGACGTTAAATAAATAAATAGAAAATAACCTCACTGACATAATTCATGTAAAAAAAAAAGAAGAAAAAAAAGTTAAAACCAGTCCCGAGTTAAACACCTTCCCCTATGCAGCGGATGAAATCATGTTGAGTGTGACGTAGCTTCAGTGGAGACAGACGGACGTGTTACAGCAGAGAGCACAATACATGTAAATTCAGTAAGTCCAGAAAAAGACCTGTAGTAGTTACAATCCTGCTGCTAGTTGCCAAAAGGAAGAGTTAAAAAAAAAAAATAAAAAATGCAGAGAGCTGACCTCTCAATGAGGACATACTACAACTAGAGACTGGGCAGAAACCCCCTCCAACTGTAGGACAAGAGCTCACTGAACTCCACCTGTTGTTGCGAGAATGGCCTCGTTTGGAGTTAAAGCGGGAATTCTCTACCCAAAGAGCTGAGAGCTATGGCAAGGAAGAGTCCACACGACGACATGGGTCACTTGGGGATAGATCGACCCACCGATCTCCTACGATATAGGCCTAAAATGGCCGCAGAAGTGGAAGCGAAGATAAAGACATGTGACCGCTGGGTACAGAGGAAAGCCCCGCCTCAAAAGGCTGCACCGCTTGTCAACATCCAAGTTACTCATCCTTTAGTGTTTGTCTGCACTTCCTTTCAATTGAACCACCCAGAAGAAACGCAATCAATGTCTTGGTGATTACAGATCACTACACTAAATATGCAGTGGCAGTACCCACCCCCAGTCAGAAAGCTCTTACCCTGGGAGAAATTCATCATCCACTACAGTTTCCTAGAGCGCCTACACAGTTATCAGGGGCCTGACTTCGAATCCAAGACCATCAAAAAGCTGTGTGAATAGGCAGGAATTCGAAAAATCAGAACAACATCATACCACCCCAGAGGAAATGCTGTTGAAAGATTCAGTCGGACACTTTTGAGTATGGGAACCTTGAAAAGATCAAGTTTTTTTTTTTTTTTTTTTTAACAGGAAAAAGGCCTGAGTGAGAGTTATTCCAGCGATGTGATTATGATACCATGATGTTGCATACACAGCATGATTTGCTATGGTGATACTACAAGCTAATCCCAAGCTAGCAGAGGGATTGTTTTGGGTGATACCTTTTTGAAAAACTCCGACACATGAATTAACATGACACTTTGTGAATTTTCATCAAGCTGTAACTCAAAGGGGAATGTCTCGCCAAGTAGTTAGGGGAAGTGGCCCAGTAAAGGTGCAGTTGACAGGGTCCTTGTCTTTCAGTTCCTTGCCTTCTGTGAGATTCTGCAAGAACTTGGGAGTCTTCAGACCGGCTGGCTTCTGTTGGAGAAGAGTGTCCTGAAGTGGCGAGCCAAGCCCACGAGACGGATTAAAGGGACAGAGAGATACTTAATCATTGTTGATCAGCGAGAGTTGTTGGACAATCGCATTTACTTGCCCCACACAAGGAGTTTGACTGAATGAGGAAGCACTATTACATTGCACAGGGTCAATGGATTCAACACATCTGTGTCTAATTACAGGCACTATAAAATAGGATTTCAAAAACCATAATAAGGCCAAAGAGAAATGAATGCATGCCTGACTTATAATAGACAACCAAGTCAAACCTGAAATAAAACAGGATGACACGAACAAGCTAGTTACTTACCCGACAGGTGGCTTCCCAACTAGACCTGAAAGAAAGAGAAACAATTGAACATTAAAAGGTGGAATATGTTTGTTTTTTTGTAAATGATGTGGCATTATTGTTGTTGTATGTGCTGAATGTTACAACCAAAAAAAAAAAACGACTGAAAGACAAAGAACAAAATAGAACTGTAAGATGAAAGTATAAATATTTTATTCTCTTACCTATTCAAACCCAACCAGTGAGTCTCTGTCTTCTTTCACCTTTGCTGTCTGATGACCGTTTCTCCTGAGCGACCTGGACTTCTGATTTGCTGCCCCGAGTGTTTATCCTTATTTTAATTGTAATATCAGTAGTTTAATTAATTCTGGTCATTACAACCCCGCGACCCTGTAATCAGGATAAGCAGTTGACGATGGATGGTCATTACAAAATGCAAAAATCTGCTCATGTAAGCAGATTCTTCTACATCTCAACTTTTTCAAGTATTTAAAAGAGTTTGTACTTTGTTAAAAATTCTCCCCAGAGTTGTTGCGTTTTCTTGACTCATCTTTATCCTAGAAAAAGTCACTTCCACAAAACTTCTTGTCTTGTTTTTAAATAAGACCTGATAAACCTGCCATGTTTGTTTAGCACAAACACACCAAAGCAAATTTATTAAACCTACTTGGCAATAAAGCTGATTCTGATGAAAAATCTATAATTATTATATCTACTATGTTTGAAGTCAAACAGGAAACATATCATACCACCAGAGCTACTGAGCTTAATGTCAATTCAAGAGCCATTAGAAACTGATGAGTTGAATAAAAAGACTGAAATTGATTCTGACTGACCAAAGCTTAAATATTTAATAACATCCAAACAAGAGTTTAAGAGACAAAAACTACAAAACAGTTGATAGCATCATTGTCTCAACCCGCTTCTTTGAGTGATCTAAACATGTAATGATAGAAAAAGACTAAAAATGTCTGTCAACCTGTGTTGGTTTTGCTGCTCACCACATTAAGGACTAATATCCAGTCAGCTGGACATTAGTCAGGATTTTATAATGCAAGACAATCTGCAAGAGTTTGATGTTGTCTCCTTTTAAAAAGCGACTTTAGATAAGATGTCTTTTCAACACTGGCAGCTTTGGAGGAGGCTCCATGATGTTGCTCCAGAATCAGTCCTACTACACACTCCTTACCTGACAGATTTGATTTATAATCAAAGAACAGGGCATCTCTATAGGTTTAGCTTCTTGGATGACACGACAATACGATTTAATCCTATGGTATTATACCAATTTTTTGCAGGACATTAACTAGTGACAAGGGTAGTTAATATTTTTGCATGGTGAACTTGTGAAAGAGTTAAAGAGACAGTAGCATCTACAGCTTTGAATCATGCAAAGCTCCATACAGGAGTCACAGAACTACAATATAGGACTGGAAATGCAATAAAATAGGTCTCCTTTAAATCTGTTATCCTCTCTTCTCATGTCCGCTGTCTTTTCAGTACGAAATCACTGTGGCCCTCCTCCAGCCCACTCATTTCTGCTTATCAGATTTTTGTTTGCTGCCAACATAAGCGTCTAATTTGCTCACTTGCAATAATTGGGCCAGATAAGAAAGTGAACTTGAACTTTTACCAACATTTTTATTATCAGCAAAAACAGACACCAATTAGAATACAAAAGTTCCACCGGAGTGAGTCAGAGATCGGTGCAAAATAGAGCCCCATTCTGTTACCAGAACAGAGACCCGAGTCGACATGAAAACCATGTGATGACTTTCACCTCCTTTTATAGCTCTGTTTCTTGGCTTCACATCATCTCTTGGCTCTCTTTCCTACTGCACCTGAATCTGGGAAATTCCATGACTTCCTGCTCCTCCTCTCTCTGTCCTTTGCATGCACTCTGCTTGATCATGCCATTTCATCCATAACCTGACTTTTGTGGAATAAACTGGTGTTTGTGCTCCGTGCTAGAAACAGGACATTCTTACTGTGATGGACTATATTGATGTATGTTTTGTAATACAAAATCTGCTTCTATATTTTCCTTTGCAAGTATTTTTGATGCTGCCTCACAGTGCTCCCTCCCTTTTCTCCAAAAGCACACGAACTTGCTCACACACACACACAGACGTGCTACTGCTGAGCCTGGTCAGAAAGGAGCACATACACTCAGAGCTGTAGAGTTTTCACACTATGATCCTAACTTTACACTATAAAATAATACTTTACATGATGACAATGTAGACCACCATTGCTCTAGTAATTAATGATAACAATTTAGGCTATAATGTTCCAAAATAATTCAGCCGCCCCGATGCAAGACACACACACAGCTGTAAATATCAAATTTGCATTTCTGTAATTATTTTTTTTTAAATCATCACGTTAATATCTGAAGTCACCTGCATCTGGTCTTCTCTGAAACTGTCAAATTGTCATTTTCTTTTACGACCTGCTAGGATCCCGATCATCGCCGCTTGTGGCTATATTTATATTTATTTCACACATCACCACAGGGGCGTTGTTAGGCGAGGCAGCTGTACAGTTGTAAAAATCCACCTAAGAGTAGGTGAGATCCGGAAGAAACACACTTAAAACATGCAGTGTGAGAATTTCCTTCTCAAAACAGTGGAAGTTTATCATCACAAAGTGAACTGGTTCCTGTTTAAAGTTTGTTAAAGGCCACAATCTTCTCTCTATTCTGCCACTGTAAAAATATACTGTTGTCTGAACCAAAAGCTAAAATCCTACCACAGTTTTTAAGTACTTTCTTCTGAGAACTGGCGGCAGTGGAAAGTGTAAATAGTGGATATTTCTACAGGAGGAGATCTGCTACTTTTCTTATGTGTGTCTTTCCTGTAGCCTCACCTTTGGGTTTACTGGTCTTCTTCCTGCAGAATATCAGCACAGCCGCTGATGATACGATGATCATGACGACCAGAACCAGATGCACATACAGCAGCGCACCTGTGGCAGTTTGAGCAGAACACCTTTGTTTTACACTTCATGGATCAATATAAAATACATTTGAGAGCATAACTGGACTCCCAGGAACATTTGGAACCTGAGTTCATACAGTGCTGTCAAACTAATATCAACTAAATATTTTAAACATTAAAATCAATACTTTCTAACAAAAAAAATCATTCAAACAAAAAATGAATACAATATATAATAGAAGTTCTTTACATAAAAGCATACACATTTATGTACGTGCACAAGGACTTCACGCCAATACACAAATACATGTAGGCATACTGTCAGTATACAAGTCAAATGGGTGTTTTTAATGGCATAATTCATTAATTAACTAGTAAAAGTGATCTAACCAAACTGAATACGAACACACTTAAAACAATATGAAGATACTTT